ATAGCAATAAGTCATGTTCACTCGGCCCCCACTATGGGCAACTAGCGCTCTGATCCGCGCCTTCTGGATTCCTCTGTAGACAGGGGTGCTGCACTGCACAAGTGCTAGCGTCACCCTCACTTGTAGCTCCGTAATGTTACCAGTGTCTCCGAGTTGCTTCTCTTCACACTAGGGCGCCATCCCACCACTTGCCACCAAATGTGACGGACCCGCTGGCACTCCAACCGAGTACCTCCATCAATCGATGCTCCTAATACTTGCCGAGGAGTCCATGCACTCCAACCGACACTATCAGCACTGCAGACTTATCCCATCCCCCAAGCATGAGTCAAGGCTTCAAGAAAGGGTCAAGCAGGTCTGTTTAATGAGCACACAAAAGCAACAGTACTCATGCAGCAAAACAACTCATCCTCAGAGGAAAACAAAATGACAACTAAAAAGGGTCAGACAGTGTTTGAAAATATGACAGTTATTAAGGGTTTAAACTGGTCTTCTAAGAAGGGAGGGGGGAATAAAACAGTCAGACTAAGTCCATAAAACAGGTGTTTTCTTCACACTCTGCATCCGAAGTGCTTAGCAAAACTGCAGATCCTTTGTCAGAGCATTTAAAGGGCCAGAAGCAGTCCATTATGCCCAAATAACGTATTTAAAGGGCAAAATCTTCCAGGAGCCATAGTCGCAGGGCAGGAGGCTGGCAATTAGTCCTCTCCAGGCACAAGTGGCGAAGGGCACTTCGTCACAGCTGTTATACTGAATAATACTAGAGGAGTTTGTTTTTTTTGTTTTGTTTTTTAAAAAAATTTGATTGTATTTGAAACTGCCAAACAAACTCCGATTTCATGCCTAGTAAGTGGTGATCTTAACAGTGAAGGAGTTAATTTGTTCATGTGCTGTGAAAAAAAGAGGGGGGCAGATGATTAAAATGGAAAGAAGAAGAATATGGCGTTAGATTGAAAAAGATGAATGGGAAAAGAAATGGCATGAAAGGGTAGTGTAATTGCATAAATGGAGTGATCATGCCGAATAATTGGATGGTTTTGAGATGGCATGAGAAAAAAGAGGGAATGATGAAGTAAGGAAATGACAAAGAGAGGAAAAGGTTAGTACTGAAAGTCCCCAAGAGATTGTACCCTAAAGGTTTCCAGCGGGTATATGACACTACAGCTGAAGAAATGTAGGAAGACTGGGAGCATCATAATAGTTAAAGAAAGTATTTATGCAAGTGGTTTGATAGGTGAAAAGTAAATTGGGGAGATGGAATGACAGTGATTGTGGGAGATTATTGTGCAATGTTTATTCAGTCTTATACATCAATGAAGGGTGATATCTGATTTGTTTTAATGTATGTAGAAAGTATATATAATAACATGTGTATTATGGCAAAATTTACATGGAAAGATACTAGAAAGTCAATAAATCACAAAAGTGAATGTGGACTGGTTACATGCATTTTTAATGAACATATACAAAATAAATATATACATTTATTTAAAAGGTTTGGAAATATGATTCTATGCCATTAAAACTTAAGAGCAGCTGTCACAAGTGAGAAAGCCATCCATTCGGTAGTTTAATGGTTAATATGTAAGATGCCTGTCTCTGTTGCTGAAGGGCATGAGCTAAGAGGCAGCCTCTTTTGCCGCCTTGGGCGTAACAGAGACTCTGCAACTAAGAGTTTACGTTTGGTCTGCATTCCTAGTAACATTGTGAGCTCTGTTTGTTTATCCGTGAGTTGTTTGTACGTTGTTAAGTCTTAATTGGATTTGTATGCAGTTTCTAGAGAGTTAATGTCCACCAGAAATCTACGCACATTTTCTTCCCTTTTCTGTTTGGGATGGGATGCTAATTGGATCAGGTGTCCCCTGATCACATTTTTATGTGCTTCCCAATTGGTAATGTGTGATGTTTCTGATTGATTATGAACGTTAAAGTACTATTCAATGAATTGTTTAACATGGGTAACAGTATTGGTGTCATTTAGTAGTGTATCATTAATTTCCACTGGAAAGCGGTTGAGTGAAGGGAGGGGATACTAGCTGCAAGAGACAGGGGCGCGTGATCATACCAAGTTATTGGACCGTATGATCAAGAGTCAGTTAGGTGAAGGAATCATGAGAAAAAAAAACATGTCAATTATAGTGTAGGAGCCTGATGGAGGAGAATAGAACGAGTAGTCCCGGGTAGTGCGATGAAGTGTTCTCCATGCATCATATAGCTGTGCCTTGTTTAGTAATGCTCTAAATTGTTTGTGTGTGGAAGTTTGGTATACGTGTGTCTGGGAGGAGGTGTCAAGTTGGCCATCTAAGGAGGTATTGAAAACCCCTTCTAATATCAAGAGGTCTTCAGTGATAAAGACCAAACTATGCAGGATTTTATATAGTGTGAAGCTTTGCTTCTTGTTGGGAAGATATATATTGGCGAAAGTGACCATGGTATTGCCTATTTGCTTTTTAAAAGGAGATATCTGCGATTGTCGTCAACAGTGTGGCATTTGTATGAAAATTAAACATTTTTCATCAGCAGTGTTTGTCTCTAAAGGAGGGGGGTGGGGCGCAGAGCCTTTGCAGAAGTGAGTTTCCTGAACAAATATTACTTTTAAACTTGTAAAAATCGTTTAGTGCTGTGTGGAGTTTTTCAGGGGTGTTTAACCCTCTCACATTAAGCGATAACATTCAAAGCATTTTCTCAATGTATGTGTGTGAGGATAGGTGGTGGGGGTGTGACCTCTCCAACCTCAGCAACGCGACAGATTGACCAAATAATAGCAGTAAGTTCTAGAAGTACAGTGTATTACACAGTATTACGAACTTAACAAAAAGTAAATTAAATGTAAGAGGAAATAAAACAATATAAATAACTATGTATACTTCAATGGATAAAAACTGGGGTAACCTGAGAGGTTGATTGGTGTCTACCCCTGTGATTTACCCGAGGGAACTTTACTCTATCTGGGTGGACAAGCTATGGGCAGTTTTGTCGATATCTACAGGAGCAGGTATTATGATAAGTAATCAGTACAGTGGCAACATGTTAATAGGAGTCCTTAGGTTTGGATCCAGTGGTTGAGTGGATTCTTGTGACCGATTAGACCTCCATTGCGGCTTGAACATTGGCAGTTCGTGAGTGTTGAGTTAATAAATAGTGTTAGAGGTTTCTGTACCAATGTTATGAGGATACATCAAAAATAAGATGTCAAAAAAACTAAAATGTCCAACAAAAACAAAACATAGAGAGGAGAATCAGTAGGAAATATATAGGGTCAAGTGCATTCAACACCCTTTGTCAACCAGGTGTGATCCAACCACGTGTGTAAGACTTATACTTAGGCCGTGGGAACTCCTGATAGCTGTGGCCTGGCCATGGAGCCGTGGTGTCTGTTCTTCTTTTTTTCTATGGTGTTTGCCATTATTTATGTTGTGGTAGTTGTACAGCATTGTTGGTGGGTTGAGGTGCATACCAGTCCACTCCTGTCCACTACTGTCATGTCCGGAATGTCCAATGCTTGGAGAAAACCAGGTATGTCAGTGTGTGTGGATATGGAGTATGTAGGCCACAATCAGGACAAATGAAAAGCCCCATCAATATTTTAGGCCTCCTAATTTTAGCTTGTCAGGGATAGGTTTGAGGGACCTGCGAGACTGGAGTGTCAGTCAAGACAGGTCTGGGCATATCTGCACCTGTTGTCCATGAAATAGGACAGGTTGGTTTGTAGATCAGAGTGCTCGTAGAATATCCTTCTTTATGGTATTGTAATGGATTCTGAAAATCCCGTCACGATGGGCCTCTGCGTTTGCACCTCTAGGCCTCAAAGAGTGGTGTGATCTGCCCAGGATAATAGGTGATTCAGTGAACTTATTCAGGATTAGATTGAATTTACCATAGGTTTAGATTGAATAACTCTGATAATATTTCCTTGATATTTTCTCCAGAAGTCTCGGGAAGGCCTTGGATTCTGAGATTGTTATTTCTCCCTCTGTTATTTATGTCATTCAACGAGCATTGCGTATGCATGAGGTGTGTGGAGTGTTTCTCGAACTGAGATGTCAGTTGTCAGACCTGGATGTGTAGAAGGTTCTGGTCATCTTACAGTTTCTGGACCCTAATTCCTACATGGTACAAGTCTGTGCCGAGGCTGTTTAGCTTAATTTGAAACTAGGTTTTTAGTTTCTCTAACATAGAAGATAAATCTTTCCTAGAGGGAAGGCTGCGCAGGATATTCTATATGTCGGGTTCAGCTGAGTAATTTGAGCTTTTGGAGCTGGGCTCGATGGAGGTGAGTCCGTCTGTAGGGCCATTGGCACCATGTTGGAATTGATGCACCCAAACAGGCGATCTGTATAGTCCTTGAAAAACCTTGTTAGGTAACTCAATTTCCCCGAGGGGGTCTTCTCTGAAGTTGTGAGGGTGGTATGGGATTTTTTGGGGTTCCCCTTGATGTGTACTCACTTTGATTCAAACAGATTTTCTGCCTGGTGTGCATGGAGCTGGATTAACGTGCATCCATTAAACTCTAGGGTTTTGCATGGCTTATTTTTTTAAGAACTCAGTAGTGAAGGTGTTAACAGCTTTGTTGAGATCACTGAAGGTCAGAATGCGAATGAGTGAATATTAAATAGATTATGCATTTTTAATTCTATTTATTTTCTTCAAGTACACTGTGGTGCTAAGGTCATAATGTAATGGATTATATAATGCAGTTTCTTTGATTGGCACATGTTTTGCAATTAATATTCATTCTAATAATCATACTTTTCCTTTCTTAAACATTTCAGAAATTGTCCAATAATAATGTGACCCTAGTCTATTATAACTATGTGACTAAGCCAATAACCTTGTTTCTTTAATGCACTGTATGTTTTTTTTTGTTTTTTTTTAATGGTGAATTAAAGTACAAAGCATTTTATAACTAAATTTACATGCCTGTCATTTAATTTATTTCTCTCAAATATGAGTTTCACTGGTGCAGTTGCCTTTTATTTAAATGCTAAAACAGGCTTCAGGCTTCAGACAGCAGTGTTCTGCCGTACTGCGTACAAATCCATACCACAAGCAACACTGCCTACATCTCCCACTGCTCTACAGTATGAATACAGAGCTGCATCTGTTCATAGTAAGCAAGGACACAGCTAGGTCACTGTATAAGAGGTAATGGAGAACGAAGGAGTGGCCTGATGGTGAAAACTCAGTTATTACAGTTTTGGGAATTAAATCTAATGGTGAAACAAGCATTGAATAAGGAATTTACAGAAATCCTTAAAAAAATGGAAGTGGAAGGGGGCTGTTTAATTTTTAACATGATAGTGTCTCCTCTGCTGCATATGCAGCTGATAACCAAAATGTGATGCAATGTCAAATATACAATTCAAAGAAGTTGGTTTTTGTTTTTAATATTTTTTTATTGGAATTCAAATCATTTGTCTTTACGCACTTGCTTTTAAAAGGAATGTGTATGACTGGATTGCTTTAGGCAATAAATAGGATTCATTAGGAATGTACTAAGAATAATATACATTTTAAAAGAAAGCTCATTACACATAAAGATGGTTTTCTAACAGAAGACTATCCTTCAGTAACGAGTGATAGGATGCAACAAAGCTTTTTAGTTGCGCTGGCAACAGACTTCATAACTAGGCATCTCATACACCAGGTATTGCAGATGCATGTGTGATTGAAACATTTGGATCATCAGTACAACAAAATGAATCCATGACCTACAATTTAAAAGGATCCCTTGAAGATTGGTTATTGTTTTTAAATGTATTCAATTAAACTAATTTCCCTGTGCTGATTTTCCTTTTTTTAAATTAACTAAATAGGTGGCTTAACCGTTTTCACATATATTTCCTAATTTTTGATAATGATTCATTGCATTAAGCTATTTATAAGAAGATAAGATTGATGTCTTTTACTCATAATAGATCAGTAATGCCTTGCCATATTCTGTTGATTTATCATATTAACCCCCTTCACTATGGAGTTTATTTTGAGAACAAATCATTTTGAAACTTGCATATTTAGCACACAACATTAGTGAAGACCAGTTATTTAATATATAGATTTCAGTTCGAGGATGCAATAGAATTAAAAAATGATGTGCATTTTCAGAATTATAAATGTGCTGTTGCTCATTTATCCTGTGTAGAAATGTTACATAGGTTGATATAACTGTGACAGGAACATGGCGACTGGTCCCCGACTTTGCATCCAGACCAGGACAGAATTTCTCATAAGCCTGCCGAGGCCATGTCCTCGGGCATCAAGCAGGAGAAGGGCAGCACTCCATAATCACAGCCTTATTATCATTGGCATAATGGGAGTAAACTGTGTACTCGGGTGAGAAGTGGAATAGCCTCCTGACTTCTCTTCCTGGCAGGCAGAGGGCGTGGAAAAAAAGTCGGTCATCACCTGTGTGACCTCCTATACCTCTGGCTGCCGGATGTTATTGCTACTAAACCTACACTGCAGCAATAACCAATACTTATTGCAAGAGAGACACAAATGGGGAAATGAGGGGTAGACGGGGGAACAAGTGGGCAAAGGGGCATGAGAAGAGAGTAATAAGTGGTGCAAGGGGAAGAGGAGCACATGTGAGGGACGTATAAATGAACAGAGGGGGATGGAGAGAGATAGAAGGGGTAGATGGGATTAGAAACACAATGCACAAACATACATCTGCATGCATGTACACTAACCCATTACACAACTACACTCCTGCATGCACACACTGACACGCTTGAAAAATATAGAAATCTGCACTTTCTTGTAAAATGAAAAATAAGAGTTTACACTCCTTGCACTTATATAGCAACAGCAGGCTGAAAATGTTTTAGTGGTGTCTTTAAAATAAAAGTATAAAAAATAAATTAAAAAAAGGGGACTTACTGGTCTGTCAGAAAACTTGTAGAAATCCTAGCTTTCCCACCCCCTTTCCAGTTAATGATGGATTGTGCTATGTTGGTGGTGGTTTGTGTTTTATTTTCTCTTCTTGTTTTGACATAGCTAGCAAGATTCCTGGCCAACGCAGTAGAAGAAGTTGCAGAGACGGCTTGGGTAGTTGAAGCCTGCTGAGAACTAATGGCGGGGACAGGCTGCTCCGGAATCTTGGTTTTCCTGTTTAGAACTGTCTGTTAGAGAAGCATCCAAAAGCTGACAGGGTTATATGTTTGCTGGCATTTGGTGTTTTAATAAATAAAGCTATGGCCGGTGCACTTATTGAACATACATAGGTCTCATGTGTATTATTGGGCAATGGGAGGATGGGTTATGTCAACAGTCATGTCCCTTGCGGAATTGCTGCCTGGAAGCTATGCTTTACAGCCAAGTTACACTGTTCGTAGCTTGCTGGAGAAAGCTCTGGGAGATGTACCTGTGAGAGCCAGAAGGGCACTTTCAATTATCCACACAGGGGCAGACTGAGAGCCTTTGGGACCCCCGGGCAAAATTAGATCCCAGGCCCTTTGAAGGCCAAATATATATATGCATTAAATAAATGTTAAATAAAACTCTCCTATAATACGGCATTCCTTTGGATGTGTATATTGTGAAAATCTATGTATCAATGCATGTTTGTATTAAAGTTTGTGTGAATGCACTTGTGCATGTCTGGATGACTACATGTGCTTTTTTGTATATAGTGTCAGTGTGAAAGCATATGTAACAGGTGACAGAGTGTGTGTGAGGGAGAGGGTGACAGGTGGAAGAGTGTGGGAGGTTGTGGCAGAGTGAGGGGGTACCTGGTAGCAGAGTGAGGGAGGGAGGGGGTGAGTGGTGGCAGAGTGAGGGGGAGACACAGTGAGGGAGTGTGACTGGTGACAGAGTGAGGGAGGGAGTGACTAGTGACAGAGTGAACAAAGGGGTGACTAGTGGCAGAGTGAGGGAGGGAAGGCGTGACTAGTGACAGAGTGAGGGGATGACTAGTGACAGAGTGAGGGGGAGAGGGGGTGACTAGTGACAGAGTGAGGGGGGAGTGACTAGTGACTAGTAACAGAGTGAGGGAGGGGGTGACAGAGGGAGGAGGTGACTAGTGACAGAGTGAAAGGGTGACTAGTGTCACTAGTCACCCCATCCCTACTTCTGTCACTAGTCACTCCCTCCCTAACTCTGTCACTGTGTCACCCACTCCCTCACTCTGTCACTAGTCACCCCTTCCCTCCCTCACTCTGTCACTAGTCACCCCATCCCTTCCTCTGTCACGAGTCACTCCCTCCCTAACTCTGTCACTGTGTCACCCCCTTCCTCACTCTGTCACTAATAACCCCCTCTGTCACTAGTCACCCCCCTCCCTCACTCTGTCACTAGTCACCCCTTCCCTCCATCACTCTGTCACTAGTCACCGCTTCCCTTCCTTACTCTGTCACTAGTCACCCCCTCCCTCACTCTGACTAGTGACAGAGGGAGGGTGGGGGTGACAGTGACAGAGGAGGATGACTAGTGAGAGAGGGAGGGTGGGGGTGACTAGTGCCTACCTTTCTCTCTGCTCCCTCTGGTCTCTCAGGCTGCTGCTCCTTCCCATCGCTGATCGGGCTCTGTGTGTGAGAGTAGTAAACAGGAAGTGATGTAACTTCCTGGCCCCGCCTCTCCCCAGCACGCAGAGCCACGTGGGACAGGAAGAAGGAGACCTGGCAGAGAGCTGGTGAAGCTGCCAGGTCTCATTTGAAGGGGAGGAGGGGTAATGTGCAGAATGGTAGGTTGCAGGGGCCCTATGCTCCATCAGCGGCCCCACAACCTAGCAATGAAATAGATTTTTATTTAATTTTTTTGCTGTTCCAGTTAGAGAGATCTGTGCGGCCGGCCCCTGGCTATCTCGGGCCCTCGGTCCATGACCGATGTGCTCGAGTGGTCAGTCCGCCCCTGTATCCACAATTACCATGATTTCCTATGAGATAGGGGATTGTATTTTAAACAGATGCAAGCACAAAATTAACTATCCCTGTTGTGGCAATCTTAGTTCACAAATACACCCCTTCTCAAGCACTTAAGCAAACTCATCATCTCCTCTACTTAGAACTAGAATTTCTTAACTCTGATTCACTCCCTCATTTGCTTTGCAAGTTTAACTGAGCACACCATACATGTTAAACCCTTCTCCCCTCTGACAGAGTTTCGCCTAAATTAAACCACCGACCTCCAGAAGCACGACTACCCCATTTATAAATATGTACGTTCGTCTGTTCATTCGTATGAACTCCCCAAAGAAGGCCGGTCAAAGCGTGCAATTGCCTGGAACTGTTTGGGACTTCACCTCGCGGCTGACCGATCCAAAACTTCACTCGAATGGCTTTCTATTCTACCAAACGGATCTTGGCGGTAATTCGACAAATTTGGCGCTCAGATCCCAGCTATTCAGTGAAGTGCCCCTTGTGGAGTTCTGATAAATATTATACGAATTATTATGTTTTAAAAATATTGTGCCAAGTTCTGCACTTAGAGATAATTTAATTAAAAGTGTACTCTTGTGTAATTATCTCTAAAGTACAGAAAAGGATCCTGGGAAATGTTACTGTACTCTCAGTTTTCCACAAGGTCCACCAGGGGAAAGCCCCTGGAATGTCATTATGGAAACCCCTTGCATGGGGATTTGTATAAAGCCGGCTGTGGTTCAATAAAAATTAAGTTGACTCCCAAAACTGTGTTTCGTCCAGTTGTTGGGGAATGGGATTGGAATTACTACTATACCCTTTATTTGTATGCTGACTATGTCTACCAGCGGAGATATTGCAGTTTATACTTCTACCCCACTACACTTACTTCTTTTTATACAGCACTGGTGAGTATGTTGGCATTATAGAATTGCAAATAATAATGATAATATATTTTGTTTGAAGTGTTTGTAGGAAGATCACTGCATTGTGTACCCATGGTGCAACAGAGGATCTTAGTCAGTCATATATTTAGGTAATATATAATGAATACAAAGAAAAACAGTCAAAAACTATTTTCTTTCAATGCGAGGAATTCTGTTCCAATGTATTTCTAATACATCACGCCCAGAGAGGCCTACATATAAACGATAGGGCAGCAGGATCCAGTACGTGATCTGAGGAAGCCGATTGGGTGAAACACGTCATCACGCACGACGTAACCACGTGATCGCTCCGAAACCCGGAAGTATCTGCCTGCGGTCGCTCAGTCTGAAAATCGGTGAATTTCAGCCAAATACTCTGCGACCGCACTTTGGAGATATCTCCTACATGGGTGAAAAGAGCCTAATCACTTTGTGTGATTATTTTAATGTGTATCTACAAATAAAATTATTCTTGAAGGATCCAGCTGCTGTCCTGACTCTGAAAAGGTCTCTTAGTCCTGAGATAAGAGGGCTTATGCCAGCAAAGTTAGAGCAGACTTTTACTGCTCTACCATTGTGAGTGTTATTCATCCTTATTTTATTCTATACATTTTATTACATACTACCCTATGTTTTTTTTTCTTGTGCTTGTTTTATATATATCACCCCTAGGGGTAACCAGTGCCATTGTTGCATTTTCCAGCTACTATTTGTAAGTTTGAATTTTTTAATATAAATTCTCGCATGTTGCACATTGCACATGCACTTTATAATATAGATATATCATATGGTATGATATTCTATGGTTTACACGTACTAAAGTGTTTTAAAGGTATAGCGCACATTATTTCTGGATTGTATACTTAGTGGTGTTTTGAGCTATTTCTCACCTTAAGGTGCAGCTTTATAATTAAGAACATTGCCTCACTTGTTAAAGAAAAAAGATTTTTGTTCACTATCACTGTAATTGCATAGCGCCTTTCTTTTGCTTGTATATAATTTTTTATTCCAATGTATTTCTGGTCCATAAAATGGTTTACAATTGTTTGGCGGTCTGCAGATAGATACATAGCCTTGTATTATCCAAAGTGGAACAATGATTGTACTAGCCAATTCATACCTGAAGGAATTTGAAAACAGATTGTCACTGCAATATGCATATGATAATACAGTGCATTCCTTTTCGTAAATAACCATAAATAGTTTAACACCCCCAATAAAATCCAGGTTAATAAGTAACCAGTCCATGGGCGACACAATGAGCAGGGATAGTTATATCTACATAGTACAAAGGTGCCTATAATATAAAATATAATTTGAGGTCACTAAAATGCTTTACATTTATGTTTATTCAGAGGCATCTCCTGGAGCATAAATTAGGAAGGGGGAAGGGGGAGGTGCAGAAGGTGTCCCCCCCCCATTGTGGGGAGAGGGCACAAGTAATTGCTATAAACAAAGACCTACTACAAAAATAATGTAACCCTAATCTATACAATCACATGGAATGCTCACTTAAAGGACCACTCTAGGCACCCAGACCACTTCAGCTTAATGAAGTGGTCTGGGTGCCAGGTCCTTCTAGGGTTAACCCATTTTTTCATAATTATAGCAGTTTCCGAGAAACTGCTATAATTATGAATGGGTTAAGCCTTCCCCCTAATCCTCTAGTGGCTGTCTCATTGACAGCCACTAGAGGCGCTTGCGTGCTTCTCACTGTGATTTTCACAGTGAGAGCACGCTAGCGTCCATAGGAAAGCATTGTAAATGCTTTCCTATGCGACGGGCTGAATGCGCGCGCAGCTCTTGCCGCGCGTGCGCATTCAGCCGGCGGGGCGTAACGGAGGCGGAGAGGAGGAGGAGAGCTCTCCGCCCAGCGCTGGAAAAAGGTAAGTTATTACCTCTTTCCCCCTTCCAGAGCCGGGCGGGAGGGGGACCCTGAGGGTGGGGGCACCCTCAGGGCACTATAGTGCCAGGAAAACGAGTATGTTTTCCTGGCACTATAGTGGTCCTTTAATTGTTTGTGGAGTTACATACTACCATATATGCAGTATATCAACAGGACATTGATCAAGGCACAGATGACTTCCAACAATCAGATTAAAAAGGTTACATGCAGACAAGTAGGAGTGGACAAAGGAATGCAATGACAATCGCAAACAGGTAAGTATGGACCTAAAAAAATCCTTATGTGCAAATAGTGCAGAGGGAACACAAATATGTGATATTATATTAGCTACCGAACATAGGACAAGGAGTCCCAGATCATAAAAGTAAATTACATGAAAAAAAAAAAAAAAAATGTATTTAACAAGTATATACAGAAAGTTTAGTATGTAGGAAACATTAACATACAATGTATCAAAATATTATTTTTAACAAGCACAGACACGTTACTTTTCTGGTCCCCAAAGGTGATATCACAGGCAAAGGTGAATTGTACTGTCCTCTTCTGCTCCTGGTGCTTCAGAGCCAGTAGCTGATGTCACTGCTGTACTTTTGCCCATGCGCAAGAATACAGCTTTAAGGTCTAAGGAGGATTTTGTGAGACCATTGGATCCTCCATATATAGAGCCAGTCCCCTGCAGCCATCACTGGTGCTAGCTGGGAGATTGACACTTCTTGACAGAGGTAGCGCCGCCTTGTGTCAAGAAGTATCAGGCGTAGGAAAAGTTCAGGTAGGTAGAACTCACCTTTGCCTGCTGCCAACCGGACCCCCATTGGCGATGCCAGCATCAGGGGTCTTTGCAAATTCTGCAAAGTCAGCAGATGGTGGCAGTGCTCTTTTAATCTGTGCCTAAAATGTAACTCTTTCATCTCTCAGAAAAGATTAAATGAAAAAGTTACCTTGCTGGAAATGCATGGTCTAACAATACACAGATAAGCAAAACAGTAACTGATCAAGCATTTAGGTAAAACAAGACAAAACAATGAAGATAATTTTTTATTGAGGCTTCTCGGTATCTAGTTTGTGGATCCAAAAGACCTCTGCTCATAGCACTTCAAGATCCTATTTACCACCTCTGCTCAATGCCTGTGGGACTTGATAAATGTCGTGTTTGGGACGAAATGCTGACTATGTCTCACAGAAATATTTAGCCAATTCTTAATAAACGCTTCTATATTTAAATAATAAAGACCAAAGAATGCTGTTTGTCAAGTTACGTTATATCTTTGACCAGAAATTGCACCTGTGCGTTGTAAAAAACTATGCAACCCTCTGCAATTCAAACTAGCTTTAAAGTTTTCATAGTTTTCTAAAAGCACCCAACTTGGGTAAAAAAGAATTAGCCACCTGTGACAGGGAGGGGTACAAAACTATGAGTATTTGGCCAATGCTCTCATATTACACATGAAAGGCTGCACTCAACTAAACATGCAAGTAGATATGTAGATGGTAGTTATACAGGGGTACACACAGAAATAATATTCAGAGGTGTTGGCATTTAAA